GTGTGTTCCTGAGCAGGTCTGAGCTCATGCCAGGGCTCCCAAGTAGGTCGCAGGAAGCCAGCTTCTTCTTTTTTTTTTCATTCTTCTTCTTTTTTAAAGCATTTATTTTATCGGAAAGGCAAATTTACAGAAAAAAGGAGATGCAGAGAACAAGATCTTCCATCAGCTGTTTTACTCCCTAAGTGGCCAAAGCGGAGCTAAGTCTGTTAGAAGCCAGGAGCCAGGAGCTTCTTCCAGGTCTCCCACACGGGTGCAGGGTCCCCAGGGGTTGGGACATCCTCAATTGCTTTCCAAGGCCACAAGCAGGGAGCTGGATGGGAAGTGGGGCTGCTGGGATTAGAACCGGTGCCCATATGGGATCCTGGCACATGCAAATTGAGGAGTTCAGCCATTAGGCTACTGTGCCTAGCCCTACATTCCTCTTTTTAAAACATAGTTTTAGGGCTAGCATAGTGGTGTAGTAGGCTAGGACTACAACTGTAGTGCCAGCATCCCGTTTGGGCACCGGTTTATGTACCAGCTGCTCTATTTTTGATCCAGCTCCCTGTTTGTGGCCCGGGAAAGCAGTTGAGGATGGCACAAAGCCTTGGGACTTCGCACTCACATGCGAGACCGGGAAGAAGCGCCTGACACCTGACTCCTGGCTTCGGATCAGCTCAGGTTCAGCCATTGCGGCCACTTGGAGAGTGAACCAGTAGACAGAAAAATCTCCGTGTTGAATCAGCACTCAGCACCCGACCCCATATGTATGCTGTGAGTATTCCGCAAACATTGGTCCAAGCGGGCAATGAGAGCAGGAAGGAACGTGAACATGGCTCACACCCCTGAGGGCAACACCTTGTCTTTTTCTCTTACTTTCCCCCCAGAGAATTGGTATCTGGAAAGCGCTGTCCAAGAGCCTGAGGGAGACAACAACCTGGGGCCTTCTCGGGGAAGGTCGGCATGGTGGAAACGCACTCCAGTTTGCTGGCTGAGGGCTGATGCCGTGTCAACTCTAAGGAGTACAGGACTGGTCACAGCCGGTTCTCTCCTTCCGAGATCTGCGTGCTCGGAGTGGGGCGGGGCTGGCAGGTGTGCAGACAAGCGCTGCCTGTGCAGTTTCATCACTACACAGTAGGCAGGAGCGGCTTTGAAAACTTGACTTTGCTGTCGCGCCGCATCATGGCACAGCCTGGAGGCACGTGGTGGGGGTGGGGCGGGTGTCTTCCCTCCTTGTTCTGCAGGCACATACTCCCTGGTCCATGACTGACTCTGTGTATCCTTCTAGAACTAGCCCACGCACACACCCAAAGGCATTTTCTATCTCTTCAAACAAAAAGACAGCACTGTCTGAAACCATTCACTTGGCTTCTCTGTATTTATTTTCTCATTTACTCATCCTGGAAATGATTCTCCAGCCAGGACACACAGAGCTACCTCATTCTGACTAACGGTGCAGACATCAGCAGGCTTCCACACAGCCCCCATTGCTGCGCCTTCGGTTTACTTCTAATCTCTTGTTGTTAGAGATAAACCTCTAACGATTTCCTGCCACATCCATCACTACTCCAGTGGGTTTAACCGGGGGAGGAGGCTCTCTGGCAGTGGAGTCCTCGTCTCCAAGGGTCTGTGAGTTTAAGATTCTCGAATCCTGGTACGCGTTGCTTTGCCAAGACTCACTGTCAAGACTCACTCTCTCACCCACGGCGTGTGCAAATGCCCGTTTCCCCACACCTACACCTACGTGGCGAGCTACCTACCCAGCTTTCTGAACCGTGCCAATCTCACCATTGAATAATGGTTTCTAGGAGTGCTCTGTGAATTTCCACTCCTCTCCTTGTCACCGTGTCACCGTGTCGTGGCAGTCACCTGGGTTTGCATTTCTGGGAGTTCTACAAAAATGCACCTGTTTCTCTGCCAGCCTGTGGGTCTCTCCCGTCCCCTTGCAGCCCCCCTCCTCACTGCCACAAGGCACCAGCCCTGCCTCATAAAAGCTTCAAGAGCGATTTTTTATATATATAAATAATTTTTATTGGAAATGCTTTTCCAATTGTCATTTTTTTCTTTTTAAAATTTTATTTTTAATATTATTTACATAGTTGGCAGGCACGCACGCCCACGTGGGTCTCTGATTAGGATGGGGAGGGTCCTGTATGGTGGAAGGAGGTGGGTGGAACACATGTTTCAGTCTTTTTTTCCCTCCTGTAAGACCAACTTTTTAAAATTCATTATTTAGTTTTCACTGGAAAGGCAGATTTATAGAGAAGAAACATAGAAAAAAATCTTCCATATTTCTCTTCACTCTCCAAGTGACTACAATGGCTGGAGCCGAGCTGATCCAAAACCAGGAGCCAGGAGATTCTTTGGGTCTCCCACGTGGGTGCAGGGTCCCAAGGCTTTGGACCTTCCTCTGCTGTTTTTCTGGGTCACAAGCAGGGAGTTAGACAGGAAGTGGAGCAGCTGGGACATGAATTGGTGTCCATAAGGGGACCCTTAGAAGGTGCTTAGAGGTAGAAAACTAGACAACTGAGTCATTACATTGGGCCCAAGACTGATTTGTTTTGTTTCAATATAAGCAGGCTAATTAGACAGAAATGAGAGGTTTCTGCAGGTCGCACCATTTTCTGCTACACTGGCCAAGGGCTGAACTATGTAGAGCTCTGGATGGTAGCACTAGCCTGGGCAGGGTGGAGGGCGGGGGCAGTGGAAAAGCAGGGAAGGAGCCAGAGTTGTAGTGTATCCGGTTAAGCCACCACTTACAATGTCAGTATCCCATATGGGCACTGGTTCAAACCCGACTGCTCTACTTCTTATCCCTTGCCAATGTGCCCGGGAAACCAGCAGAAGATATTGAAGTGCTTTGTCCCTGCCACCCAAATGGAAGGCACAGAGCTGATTGTCAGCTCCAAATCTGGATGGAAGGAGCTGCCACAGAAGGCAATGAATTCACCCCTTCTAGAAAGGGCAGAGGGGAAAGAGAGGCTGGCCTGGTTCGGAGAGACCTTTGACCTTCATCTGAGGTAATGGAGGTAGCTGGCAAACCAGGGACCAGAAGCCTCCCCACCACTCCGTCAGAAGAACTGTCAACTTTTGGTCACTGAGATTAGAAGCTTGGGTGAGGTGGGGGAGTAGAGGGCCCCAAATGGGAGAAGCCTCCAGGAGGGAGCACCCTTTGGTCAGGCCTGGCCTTGGGGGTCCCGGCTGAGGAGGAAGTCCCACGATTGTGCTGCCCCAGAAGTCCTTGGGAGCCAGCAGGCCTGCAGCCAGGGGGTTTCCCCTTTTTGCTGTGCTAGGAATGGAACTGTGGTGGGAAACAGCCCTGGCAGGGTCTCCGGATGTCATGGGAGGAAGTGTGGCCAGAAGCCCTAAGCTCAGCTTAGGGCCACCCAAGCACTTAGAGCACTCTGGGTCTCGGGAGCCCAGGGGTTACACAGCCTTGGTAAGATGGTGTTTCCGGGGTGGGTGGGGACTTCCTTGGGTGTGAGGGAAGTTGCCTCACAGCCAGAATGATGGGGTAAGAAGGGCCTAGGATTTCTCACTGGACTCCCCATGCGCTCACAGGCCCCCATCTCTTAAGAGGGGTCCCTCCTTCTGTGGCACCTGCCTCTACCCAACCAATTTCCCACTGTGTAGCAGCCCCCTCGGGGACAGATCCCGCTAACCTCCAATTACCATCACTACATCCTAAAGGCCGGGTGATGGCAGAGTGGAGCAGCCAGGAGCAAAGACGCTGGAGTCAGGTGGTGTGAGTCCGAACACCAGCTCTCTACGTGACTGTGGACCACACAGAGCCCCAGCTCCCTGCTCTATGAAATTAACAGCAAGTCAGAGAGCATCAGAAAGAAGGGATGTGCCCAGCTGAAGTCACCACGGACTGGTGGCTCTCCAAGTGTGGTCCCTGGACCATCAGCATCACCTGGCTACGAGTTAGGAATGCAAATTCTCATCCTCCCTCACCACACCTCTTGTTCTGTTGAGTCAGAAATGAGAGACAATCTGTGTTTCAACCAACCTTCCAGGAGATTCCACTGCATGCTTAAGTGGGAGAATCTTCTACAGATAAACTAACCCAGGAAGAACAACAGTTAGGCAATATCAACATCCACAAGGGATTCATCCGTAAATTTTTTTTTTCAAAGATTTCTTCATTTTTATTGGAAAGTCAGATTATAGAGAGAAGGAGAGAGAGAGAGGAAGATTTTCCATCTGCTGGTCTACTCCCAAAGCGGCTGCAATGGCCAGAACTGTGCTGAGCACATACAGGCTCTGAGCTCCGTGGGGTCAAGCCCAGGTTCCCCAGTCGCCCTCCAAGTCAGGCCGTCCCCACACTGATGACACGACTCCCATCAGCTGCAAGGGAGACCTATTTATGCTGGGCAGTGTCTCCCTGGAATCGCCCCTCAAGTCCTTTCCTCTACTCTTGAACTTGAGTTTTCCAGTCTCCCAGGAAGGTTCTTGAAAAAGTTGATGGAAAATAGAATGATTAAGTTTACTTTGGTGCACAAGAGATTCTTATTTTAATCTATGTGCATGAGATCTGCAGAGTTCAGGGGAAATGTGTATTTTCCAAAGACCATGCAAGGATTTCAAAATCCTCCCACAGCAGAATAAATTCATTTTTAAATTCTATTGTTCACAAACTTTTTAAAGTTCTCTCCTAAAATTTAGATAAGGGGATATCTGCCCTGGGAATTCTTTTCTCCATTTGCCAGCAGCTACAACCTGCTCTTCAGCCCTCTCCCTGGGCTTCCAGGAAGATATGCGGGGGTTCTGTAATAATGGGATTACCTTGGGGTTCCCGGCTCTGCACAAGGGCTGGGCAGAGGAACCCGCGAACGCTGCCCAGGCCGCAGCCCAGGCTGTTAAGGTCCGGCCTCGCTCGCCCTCTGCAGGACACTCTTGGCACTGCATGTACCTGAACTCCAGCTCCCAGCTGGAGAGGAACGTGGGGACCATGATGACTCCAAGACGGGCAGGCGTCAGGACCACTCCTCTTCCGGGCTATCTACGTGGACGGGAGGCTACAGGTAGTTGTCCTCGGCCGCGTCGCCCTCGCCCTGGGCTTCCTCGTCCTCGTCCTCGTCGTCGGGGGCCAGCGCCTCGATGTCGTGCGTGATGTCGGCCAGCAGCCGGTGGAAGGTCTGCGCCTCGGGCGGCCGCGCCGCGTCGTGGTAGCTGCGCACGGCCGATGCCGACGTGGAGCTCATGCTCCGCTTGATGCGGCCGAAGCTGTCGGTGAGGATGCCGCCCTCGCGGATGCCCACGCCCTCCAGGAAGCCCTCGAAGTAGCCGATGTCCTGGTCGGGGATGAAGGGCCGCATCCCTGCAGGCCGCAGGGCAGGCTCGTTCCCTGGGGTCTCCTGCCCCCTGACCCTCCGGCCACCCCACCCATCACGGCCCTCCAGCTTGGCTGTGTGGCTGCATTCCTGCGTTTCACTGGGTGGAAATCTCCGCCCCCACCCCTCTGAGCTGCTTCGCCATCTCCTTACACCTGCGCCTAGTTGACGGTGTGGTGTGAGCTGTACCCAAAAACTACCCCAGGCTGTCATCATGTGGCGGCAGGAGTGACTGCACCTGTGCCGCCACAGGTACAGGTGCAGGTTGGGTAACAAGGTACTGAGCCTGAGCACTACCCACAAACCTTACTCCATACCTGCTCGGCAGCCAGTGGGACCTGGGGTTCTGCTTGGCTGCCCCGGGCTTGGGATGGACTAATAATGTGGTCATCTACTTCCTGTAGACAGGTTCCTGGCTGATGTGGGGGCTGCCTAGGACTTTGGCTATTCTGGGCTTGTTGGCTGTGTGCCTACGGCCAGTTCCTCAGCCTCTCTGAGCCTTGGCCTCCTCCTGGGGTGAGACAGAGAGAGGAGCTCTGTGTCCTGGCTTGGTTCTAATCTAATCTATGCACCTTGGCCTCCTTGTCTGCGCCAGGAACCTCATGGCCTTGGCCATGGCGGAGGTTGATGGTACACTGTCTGAACCCAGGAGGGGTTCCTTGCTGGGGGGATGCAGAGGGGATGACTCACCGAGTAGGAGGAACTTGCGTCGCTCCCCGTAGAGCTTAAGCAGGCCGGCGCAGTAGTCCTGGATGGGCAGCCCCAGCCGGTACTCCCGCAGCAGAATAGCGAACTGCTGGATCTCCGGGGGCCCCAGTTTGCTCCGCAGCTGTGGACGCCCCGCGGCTGCAGGTCAACATGCCTGATCTCTGCCCACAGGACCCGGAGCTGCCACCCCCATCCCACACCATGAAGGGCACATCTGTAGCCCTGTCCTCTGAAAATGTGCCTATGGCCTGCTCGAGGGACATCCAGGCCCACAGGGAGGTAGACTCCAGCTGCCTGAGTTCAACTCCTGGCCCAGTCCCTGGGCAGTTCTGTGCTCCTGGGCCCACCTGGGGCTGTTGAGAGAGACCAGGTGAAGTGATAGGTGCTTGGACAGGGCCTCACTGTAGACAGCAGGTGCTCAATGAATGCAGCTGCCGTCCCTCAAGTCCTCTGGCCTGCTAACCTCCTTTTCTGCCCTGACTGCTGCAGTGCTAGGCTCTGGTTTGCCCAGGACAATGTTTGATGCCTGAGAATGCACCCAGCTTTATCCCAGCTTCAGGGCCTCTAGCTAGGGCCGCTTCCCAGCCTGCTCCTCTCACCGTGACCATGTAGTCCTGCAGCTGCTCCAGGCCCAGGCCGCTGTGGTCGCTGCTGCAGTGGGAGCCGTGGAAAGAAGGCGTGGACGTGCCACTGTAACATGCTTCAAATGTGTCCTGGGAGCCATTGCTGCAGGCACAGGAGGGAAGGAGTCTTGGTTCACCATGCTCCAGCTCCTCGGCCTGGCCGGGCTGAAGGTGGGTGTCCCTCCTAGTCTGGCTCCCTGAAGTCCCTGGCCACTCTGCAGGCCTGCTCTCTCATTGTCTCCACCACCTGCTCCTTCCAGTGGCCTACCTGCCTCCTCACCTCCGGGTCTCTGCCGATGCTCTCCCTTTACCCAGAATGCCTCTCTCCTCTTACCTGTTGCTGAAACTAACTCTTGTCCATCATGTCCTGAATGTCGCCATCAGACTGGGCTAGACCCTGCTATGTGCTTTCGAAGACTGCAAGATATCCACAACACACAAGGCCTTGCCCTGCCGAAACAGCCTCCCCCATGCCCACAGCTGGCCACCTATCGTCCTGCAGGGGACACAGCACATGCTATTCCTCTATTTGGCACGCTCTTGCCCGTTTCATCCTGGAGGTGTGGGGCCCAAGCATCAAACTCCCAGCTCCCCAGGGATGGTGGGGTCTCCCTTGGCCCCTGACACTGACAACCCCCTTGCTTCCTGTAGTGTGTGTTACCGTGAGTGCCTGGTGACCTCATGCCTGCCTGTGTTCAACTGTCATAGATGGCCTGAGTCATTTCTTGAATCAGCTGCAATTTTGACTCTGAGGCCCCTGTGCCCGGTGATCAGGCTGTGTGGACCCAGCACCAGGTTCCCTGCTCTGGTCCCTCAGGGGTCCCCTCGCTAGCGCAGTGCCCAGGGTCATGGCACGAGGCCAGCCTAGGTCCCACTGTCCTCCCCTTGTTAGCAGGACTGTGAGTGCAGGACCTGGGGGCAGCACCTACAATGAGCTGCAGCAGCTGAAGTCGGCGTCGTAGGCGTATGTCCCATCCGTGCGGCAGCTGTCACCTGTGAGTGGCAGACAGAGGTGCCATCAAGGCCAACACAGCAAGGCTAGCGCCTCCAGCTCCCAGAGCCACAAGTTTGGCCTTTGCAAGGAGACCTATGCCTGCCTCCCATCTCCTGTACCAGCACAGCCGACATGGGCAACTTCCCCCCGGGGCCAGAACTGAGCCACCTGCCTGCTCATGGGGCCTCGAGAAAACGGAGGAAGGACCAGGTGAGGGTGTGTCTCAAAAGTGGCATGTGCTAGAGGCCAGACAAGAGCATTTTGTGTATGAGAGGGAAGGAACTCAACATCTTCATGAGAAAGCAGTCTGTCTTTCCCCTGGCCATCTCCCCGTATGTACAGGTGCCAGCCTTGACCTTCTCATCTTGGCTTGCTCAGGTCACTGCCATGCCCTGATTCCTCTGGTGAGGCCAGTCCCTGGGAAGCTCCCGCGGCCTAGCCCATGATGACATGCTTGTTTGTTAAGGGTTTAATTGTTACCTGCTGGCCTAGTGTACCAGTTTGCTAAGGACAGGATTGTGGCTGGGTCACTTGCCTGGAGACTAGCAATTGGTTGCAATATGGTAGATACTCAGCAAATGATAGTGGCCGAACAACATCACTCATTTGCCTGTCACCCCCAGGGGGTCCCTAACTCTTCCCTACTTCCCTCCAGCCCTCTCCATGCTGTATAGGTGGGAAGGCCTAAGGGGGGGGGACAAGAGCTTGTTATGGCCAGGCGGCCAGGCCAGTGGGGGGCTGTGATGGAGGGAATCTCTCCCCCACTGGCCTTGAAGGCAGCATATTGCGGTTAGAGCCATTGTACCCAGACACACCTGGGTTACAATCTGACCTTGAACAATGTGTCGATTCTTCTGAGCCTGGTGATTTTGGATCCTAAGGCCTCAGGGTTCTTTCCCCTATCTGTGGCCTCAGGGGATACAGGGGACCCGTGGAACAGACTAGCATGCTGTGAGGATGAAGCAAACCCCTGGGGAACAACCAGTGCCCCTTAGCAGCCTTTGCTGACCATCTCATCTCCTGGCTGCCTCCCAGGATGGCTGTGCCAATGCTGACTCTGATCTGGGGTCGTCATAGGAAGCATCCAATATAGGTGCTTGCATTTCAGCATTCACCTGTCTTCAGGAAGCTGGTGTGAGGTCAGTGTGGGAGCTAGCAGTGGGTGTCAGCTGTAGGTCAAGGTCCCTGAGGGCAGAGGGCAGGACTCGGTACTCACTGCGGCTGCAGAGCCACGGCCGTTCCGGCGTGGACGTGTAGTGGTAGCCAGCCCGGTCCACGCACTCGATGCTCTGGTCCCCATAGATGATCTGGAAGACCTGGCATATGAGGGCACAGGACTCCTCGGCGGCATCCTGGCCCAGGGAAGGGGGACAAGGTCAAGCCCGCACCGACTTGGTTCCCCGCCTCCCCCCCCATGCACACTCAGCCACCTATGGGAGTTAGTTCCCATCATAACCCCGTGCCTGCTCTCCGGGGCTTGGTGCTCCTTTACACAGCCCTGCGACAGCTCTGATTCCTCGGCCCCGACAATGCACCCCACATTAGGTATGGCGAGGTACCTAGAGCCTCCTGAGGCTTATCTAAATCCTAAAGTGAACACGTGGAAGCTGAGGACCTGGGAAGGAGGGTCGCCAGCGCTTGAATTCCTGAGGCCGAGGAGGAGGAAATAAAACTTCAGGCTCATCTTAGTCCTCCTGGATGGTGTCTCTCCATAGGAGCTTCCTTCCGGTCCCTGGGAAACCGGGGTGGCCACCTAAGCTTCCGTCTCTGGCAGAAGGAGTTTAGGCTCTTGGGTGAAACTATCTTGAGGCAAATTTCAAGATAAATTCACTTCTTTGTGTCCCTCCACAAGAGAGAACAATGGTGCTCCCAGCTCCACGGGGGACGAGCACTTGGGCTGGTGGGATTCACTGAGCATCCCACCCAGGTCAGATGCTTACAGAGACCCCACAGGTCCAGCAGAGCAGAGGGGAGCCTCACTCAGAGAGGGTGAGTGACTCGCCTAGGCTCATGCAGCAGACTCATGTTAGCATATCCATCGACAGCCTGGTTTTATGACTATCTCCTATGCCCGTCTTGGGATTGCCATGCCTCACATAGGATGGCAGAAGTTCCTACCCCGCAAGAAAGTCACCATTTATTTTCTTGCTTTATCCTCTTGGGTGGCAGGTGCTGGGCTGGCTTGGCAGAGTGCTCGTGGCTCGGCAGTGCAAGTGAGACCCACTATGTCTGGCATCCGACCCCCCAGGCTCTGCTGACCCCTCCCCTGTCTGCAGGGTCCTGTTTAAATGCTATAGACTCACTTCCCTGTTAGAGACACCTCTCCCCACCCCCTCACTGGCACGGAAATCTGCTGGTTTTCCTCCGGGTCCCTGTCACAAGCTGTCAACTAACAGTTGACTGGGCCCTGGGCAAGGTGTACTGGAACACATAGACATTCTGCACCCTAGGAGGAGGCCAGCCTGGCTGGGGTGGGGTAGTGGAAGTGGGCAGAGGAGGACCCAGAGTGAGCTGGAGCGGAGGTGGGGTGGGGGTGGCTGCAGCTTGGCTGGCCTCGGGAGTCCCCCTGAGTGAAGGGGTGCACCGGCAGACTTGGAGGGGTGCGTTGGATGTGCCTTAGGCGTGAGCAGGAATTGTTGACTATGCAGAATGAGCAGACTGGGAGGGAGACTGTGTGACCCAGAGGGGGCCAGAGGGGGCACATGAACCTGGCTGGGGACAGTGGGGGTGGGGAAAAGTGATTTGGTTGCATTTGAAAACAGTTATTGACAAAGTGGATATGGGGTGTGGTATGAGTGAGACAGGAGTGGTAGTAGATTCATTACAAACTTTAACCACAGCCACGCAAGGACGACCCTGCTGTTAAGAGACATGGAGGGGAGGGGGGTGCGGCATGGTAGCCTAGTGACTAAAGTCCTCACCTTGCACACTCTAGGATCCCATGGGCACCATTTCTAATCCTGGCAGCCCTGCTTGTGGCCTGGGAAAGCAGCTGAGGACGGCCCAAAGCCTTGGGACCCTGCACCCGTGTGGGAGACCAGGAAGAGGCTCCTGGCTTCGGATTGGTGCACCCCCAGCCATTGCGACCACTTGGGGAGTGAATCAACGGATGGAAGATCTTCCTCTCTGTTTCTCCTCCTCTCTATATATTTGACTTTCCAACAAAAATAAAATAAATCTTTTAAAAAGAGAGAGAGAGAGACATGGGGAAGGCAAGGGAATGATAACAGCAGGTTTGAGGGCGGAGCTTCCGGGCTCAGCTCTGGACCTGTTAGGGGCTGAGAGTGGATCAGGTGACAGGTGATTTTAAGGCTATGTGAGTGGATGGCAGCCAGAATATAGGGCTGACACCAGAAGGAAGAGGGTCAGGGGTGAAGGCCAGGGTACCCTAACTCTAAGAGGCTGTGGAGAAGGGGAGGACCCAGCTGCTGAGGGAGACCAGAAAGGATGTGGGGAACCGGATGCCAAGCAAGCAGGGCCAGGGGTCAGCTGTGGGGCCCCAGTGTCCACTTGCCCCCCAGACCAGTGCCTTGTGGTGTGCCCAGCACTGGTTCCTTACAGATCTGGAGGTGTGGCTCCAAGGGGCCTGCCAGACAGTACCAACCCAGTGCTCAGCTCACAACCCAGTGCCCAGCACGGCTAGAGTGAGCAGAGCCACCATTCTCACCAGAGGTGTGTAATGAGGCTCTTGTCCTGGGGCCACCTTAATTACCAAAAACACCTGCTCCCAGCTCCCAGGTTTCCACCAGCTGCTTCTTGCCAAGTGTCCATCACTTGGGTAAGGCGGAGGGGCGTGGTGTCGCACTCACTCTATTGGCCACAGCCAGGATAACCAGGTTGCAGTAGGCATCGGGGCTGGGGTTCTGAGGATCCAGAGGGTTGGGTCCCGGATGGCGCCGCTCCCAGCTGCCACCGACGCCGCTGCCCGCCTGTCTGCGCTCCCAGCTGCCTCCGGGCTTGCCCGTGCCACCGCCGCCGCCGCCCGCGTGCCGCCGCTCCCAGCTGCCGCTGAACGTCTGCCGCCGCTCCCAGCTGCCGGACGCGCGCGGCCCGGCTCGCTGCCGCTCCAGGCTGCCGCCGCCGCCCCCTCCGCCCGCGGCCGCCCGGGCCTCGGCGCCCGCGCCCCCTCCCCAGGCCACGCGCCAGTCCAGGCTGCAGATGGTGTGGCGCCGCTCGGCGGTGCCCACCCGCCGCTTCTCGGACACTGCGCCAGGTGGACCCGGGTCACGTCCCGCGCCGCCGGGGCTGGCGTCCACGCCGGCTGGCACTGGATCCACGCCCAGACCTAGGAGAGGTCGGGGGAGAAGGGGCTGGGGTGCATGAACTACGTCGGGATCAGGAGATAGGGACTGAGACGGCTCCTGAGGTCACCTGGAGGATCCGACCCACCCCCAGCCTCAGGCCGAAGTGGCCATGCCTTCTGAGCCTTCACTTCCCAGACTCGGTGTCTAACTGTGGTTACTCGGTGGCCAGGTACTTCCCACCTCACCCCTGGACTCCTGGCCACGGACTGCCCTCTAACCTGAGGGTGGTGGCCAGACTGTCACCTCCCTCTGTAGCCCTTATACCCGACGCTTCCTAGGCCAGACTCTGCCTCTAAGGGACACCTAGCATGGGCCCCACTCCCTGCATGCCTAGCATCTGGCCTCGGTACAGAGGGTCAGCCCTCAACCTCACACATCTTTTTTTTTTTTTCAGCCAGTGCGCGCTCGTCTCAGGGAGTGAGGTCAGGCCTTTTCCATCACCTCCTCTCCCAGTGGGAGGACCCCGCCCTGCCGCAGGTCACTTCCTCTTTCTGCTGACCGCGGGCAGTACCTGTCTTAAGCACTAGCAGGTGCAGCGCGTCGTCCTGCAGGTAGGAGGCAGCAGCGATCTCGTGTGTGGGGATCCGCAGGATGAGCTCCTCATTGTCTCTCCAGGTGAGCAGCAGGCAGCGGGCCGAGAGGCTCAGGATGCTGTCCTGCTCGGCCGTGGTCTTCAGCGGCAGCTCCTTCAGCTGCTGCGGGCCGGGGCAGGGCAGGGCAGGTCTCTTTACCCTTCCCCCCTAAAGAGAGGGAGAAGGGGCAGGAATCTGCCCTCCCTCCCCAGAGCCTCACCCTGGCCGTGTCCAGCAGCTGCAGGAGCTCATCCCGACTGGAAGGATTCAGAGAGGAAGTCACCCAGGTGAGGTGGCCCAGAAACTGGATGGGACAGAAAGTGGGAGAAGGGTGCAAAAAAGTCACCCTGGTGGGCCCGACACGGTAGCCTAGCAGCTAAAGTCCTCGCTTTGCACACTCCAGGATCCCATATGGGTGCCGGTTCTAATCTCAGCACCCTGCTTCCCATTCAGCTCCCTGCTTTCATCCAGCGCCCTGTCCAGGATGGTCCATCCAGGTGGCAGACCCTGAAGAAGCTCCTGACGCCTGGCTTTGGATCAGGTCAGGAATTGCAGCCACTTGAGGAGTGAATCAGAGGACAGAAGATCCTCTCTGTATCTCCCCCTTTCTGTATATCTGACTTGCAAATAAATAAATAAATAAATAAATAAATCTTTAAAAAAAAGAAGAAGAAGTCACCCTGGCCTCCCCACGATCACAGCTCTGCCAGGACCATGTGGAAACATCTGAGCTTATAATGTAGTCCAACGGTTTTATGAAGCTCTTAACAGAAGCCACGGTTCTGCGTACTTCTGTTCCACTCATTCATTTCTGCTTTGTGCGTGAGAAGAACCAACGTACAACTCAGCTTGTTGGAAAAAGTGTTTCCAGGATTGTATGATTACAAAGGGCAGAACTTGGACCTGGCACGATGGCTCAATAGCCGAATTCTCTACCTCCACGTGCTGGGATCCCATATGGGCACCACTTCGTGTCCCAGTTGCTCAGCTTCCCATCCAGCTCCCTGCCTGTGGCCTGGGAAAGCAGCAGAAGATGGCCCAAACCCTTGGGATCCTGCACCCACATAGGAGACCCAGAAGCTCCTGGCTTCAGATTGGGTGATGGCAAACTGATCCAACAGGTGGCTCCTGGCTTGCTAAGACTGACAGCCCTGCCCCCATGTGGCTAAATGTTTATGAGAAAGAAGGATGGCCCTGGGCAGAGGCAGAGCCCTTAACGGGGACCCTGTCGAAATCACATGAAGCCACTGCACCAAGATAGCCTGGGAAGATAGGGCTTCTCCGAGCCAGGCTCCCCCTGGGCAGAGGGTCTGAGCCCCTTCCTGAGATGGGAACACTGAGACCTGGTCAATGGAACCTACTGGTTAGGCCTCTTCCCAGGAACTGCAGCTTCCCCTGGGTGAGGCAGGGCAGGTCAATGTGGAGGATGGGGAGGGGAAGGGAAGGACAGGCAAGGTCTCTCCTGACCCCAAGGGTTGCCCTTGTCCCACACTCACCTTGACCTCTTTCTCCAAGTAGTCACACAGCAGAATCTGAGGGTCGATGAGGTAGTCAGGTGGGTAGAGGGGCAGGGAGTGCAGGGGCCGGCGGCTCACACTGGTCCGACAGGCCGCCCGGCGCTCAGCAGCCTTGGGGAACACGAGTTTCCGGATAGGGGACACGAAGCCCTAGGAGGGTTGGTGGTGGAGGTGGGTAATGGGGTTATCACTGGGGTCTTTGCTGAGCACCCCCAGGGCTCACTTGATCCTCTCAAGTTCCATTTTACAGGTGGGGAAACTGTCAGAGAGTGTTGTGGGCTAAGGAGTTGACTAGCACTCGTTAAGCCGAGCACTACAGGCAGTGGGCTGGGGCTAGAAGCACCTGGTCTCAGCTATAGCCAATCTGCGCTAATGAGGGAGTGGGGTAAAGCCTAAACACGAAGTAGGTGAAAGGTCAAGAGAGAAGGCACTAAAGGGAAGCTTCGGGGAGAGACTTCCACCATCCCTGTCTCCGGTAGGTGCCTCAATCCCTCGGACCCTCACCGTGTCCCCGTTACTCGTGCGGAAGGCCGCAACAAGAGAGGGAACAAGCTGATTAAGTCACCAGCTGGCAGTCATGGAGCCGACGCTTGGCCCTGGGCAGCCATGCTCTGGAACCTACATTCTAAATGCCCGGGGGATGGGGTGGGCCTGCCAACCAGGGCTAAAGGATGAACCCAGGCTGGGGGAGATAAACTCCTAAAGGTTGGTGTGGCTGAGAGGTGGGCACCAGTGATTCTCTCTGCTTCCTTAAAAGTTACAAATAATTAATAGGGAAACGTAAACACCACCCAGACCAGCAAAATCTGAATGTCAACAGAGTCTGACCTGAGCAAGACTCTAGACCACTGGTCCTACACACAAGGTCTTGGGATCTTGAGAGAAATGCAGGTTCTCAGGCCCCACCCCAGGCCCTCTGAATGTGGCTCTGGGAGTTGAGTCCAGTAGTAATTCAGCCAGAGAACCTCCTTTCAGAGCCCCCGACCCTGGCTGTCTTTAATGGCTGCCTGGGGGAGTTTCTGGGATGTCAGGCTTCTGTGCAGGGTCTCTCCTACTGCACCTCTTCTGGAAACTTGGCAGACAGCCCCTTCCTATGCGTCAATTTCCAAAACCTTTTGCACCCCAGTCCTTGAACTTCTTGAGGTGCCATCCTCTAGCCGCACTGCTGTCTGAGCCTCCAGCCCGATACGCCCTCGCACAGGCGCCTTTCAGAACAGATCTGACCCAGGCTGTCTAGAAGAAGAGCCGGTGAGGATAGGTAGGGGCTGGAAGCTGGGGGACAGGAAAAAGAAACTAACCACAGTCCCTGAGCCCTCAAAGACAGCTTGGTGAAAGGTCTGGAGAAGCAGACTGGGGAACTGAGGCTTGGGAAGGGGCAGCAGCCAGGGACTTGGGGACAAGGACTCCTGGGCTGGGCCCTATGTAAAGATGCAGAAGGCAGGGTATGGCTAGGGCAGCAGCTGCAAAACTCGGACGCCCGGAGAGAGACACTCCCAGCCCGGGACCATCCTGGCTGGGTCCCCTGTGTCAGGGGTGGTGGGGTGTCTGTCTACCCCTCTATGTAGGACGTGCAGGCAGAGGCCCCCAGGAGTACGGGGGATGAGGTTTGGCCACCTGCATGTTCCAATCTGGTGGCTTTCCAGAGAAGGTTCTTATCCATCCGCCTGCTGCCGAACGGCCTGGGGCCACCGAGAGTTGGGAGGGAGAGCTCAGGGTGTTTACAGCCCACATGTAAGGCTGCCCACGAGTGGCAGGCAGGCCTTCCCACTGGAGAAGCAAGGCTGCGTTGGTGCCATCTGCTGCCCCCATTCCCAGGCTTGCCCCTTGGCCAGCTCCAGGGACATTTCTTTCCCCATGCGTCTGTCCCCAGCTCCCACCTACCTTCTTCCCTTTCTTGACTTCATAGTCCATGGTGCCGTGTCCTCTCTACGCCTGCTGCCCTCCTGGCCACCCCTCCTACCCTGCCTCCCCCCCACCAGCCCTTTGTTCTTTTTCCTGCCTAGTCGGAAACTCCACCAGCCCCGGAGTTCCTGTCCCTCCCATCTGATAGTGGTGGTAGTAGTGTGTGTGTGGTGTGTGGTGTGTAGAGGGTAAGAGTGTAGCTGGAGGACCCAGCATGGTGACCCTCCACCCTCCAGCTAGGGAGAAAGTCTCAAGGCCTTTGCCATAGTGGGTGCTGTCAAGGGGCCTTGGCGGTTGGGTGAGCCTGGGGTAGAGTCTCCTACATTTAGAATCTGAGTTTGAAAAACCCCAAATTTCAGGCCATTGGCCTCGCAGGTGCCATCTTAGGTGGCTGCTACTCACACAGGAGGGCTGAACCGAGTTCCTGGCCCTGGCCCTGCTATGGGGAACACCTGAGCAGTGAACCATTGGATGGGAATTTCCTCCTCTCTCGTAAGTTAAAACCACAAGCTGTTGCTCTCTCGCAGAGCCTGGCTCAGGGCAGTCACACAGTGAGTCCGAGGCGGTGCCTGCTGGGACTCCAGGCTGGTCCCAATCTGAAGCTGCACGACCCTGACCTCCAAGACCTGGGCAGAGAGGCTGTGAGTGGCCCTTGCACACCTGACTACAACCCCTGGATTCTAGAGGAGTCAGCTAGGACCCCAGGCTGGAGGTTCAGAGGAACCACTCTTGGCCTCAGCCTTCTCAGTTTTCCAGGAGGGGACCATGACTGCCCCTCCACCCTATAATTCTCCACCAAACCCTCTCCTACTAGACAGAGGAGTGATGAGGAAGACATGAAGCCGGGGATGAGGAGGCAGGTGGTGAGAGGCGGGTGCCAGTGGGGAGTGCCGGGTTTGAGATCATAGATGTGACAGCTCAGCATAGCAGCCGGTGGGGAGGGGCAGCCTGCCCTGTGGCCTCTGGGCATGACTCCCAGGCACTAGCCGTTCTTTTCTCTCTCTCTCTCTCTCTCTCTCTCTCTCTCTCTCAGGGGAAAATCTCAGGCTGGTTAGTGCCAACTCTCCAGCCACTGCCTCCTGCTAGCCTACATCCTGCCAGGCTCCTCCCAGCAGCAGGAAGTGAGCTCAGCCTGCAGGGCCAACAGGAAGAGGTTGGAACTGAAAACCAAACATGGCCCCACCCTGGACACCAAAACTCCCACTTAACCCCTTGAGCCAATCCGGAGTGGCAGTGGGATGTGGGCTGTGCTCTCTTGCCGTGGCACCTCCCTGATAGGCTTTTGCCAGCCTTTCCCTTTCTTTGGGCCTCATGTTCCCTGTCTATGAAACAGGAGCTCTCATTATTCCTAGACCAACTATAAGCATCACTGCGTTGTCTGCATTCCCTTACCCACAGAGCCGTGGGCGCGGGTCGGACTTAGCATCCCTGGAAGTGATTGCAGACAGGCGGACTTACCCTGAAATGGGAAAGGCCTTGAGCAAGCTGCTTTGTCTCTCAGGGCCTGAGAATCACCCTAAATGTGGCAAAAGCAGGCAGCCTCTGCTTCAGAGGCTGCTGCAGGAATTAAAGTGAAACAGAATGATACAATGATAATGCATATTTTTAAGATTAACAAGTAACTCAGGAAGAGGGTCCTAGGGTAGTAGCCTAGTGGCTAAAGTCGTTGCCTTGCGTGGACCAGGGTCCCATATGGGCACTGGTTCTAATCCTGGCAGCCCTGCTTCCCATCCAGTTCCCTGCTTGTGGCCTGGGAAAGCAGTTGAGGATGACCCAAAGCCATAATACCTGGGTGGTTAGACTCTGGCTGTATGGGTGGATGATGCCACCAAAGGTGGCTTAGCCGGGAGGGAGGTTTGATTCTCTCTCAAGACAAGAAGTCCTATGTTGAGTGCCTTACAGGGCTGGTTAATCGAGCACCGAGCAAGCACCTTGATGATGGCATGGAGGTCCTTACATTTTTTGCTTTGCTGATGATACGAACTGAATTGTGCCTGCTCACATCCAGATTTATATACTGAAGCCTCATGCCCACCGTATTTCAGAATCTAGTGGTATTTGAAGATAGAGTGTGAAAAGATGTGAAGGCTAAAATGAGAGGTTAAGATGAGGCCTCCTTCAACTGGATAGGTGCTCTTATGGGAAAAGAAGATGTGCATCCACCAAGGGACATCGGGGAGTCTTAAGTCAGCTGGCTGGGCTTGTTGAGCAGCCCTTGCCAGCTAGTCCAGCTGGCTGCTTGGCAGGAACTGGACATGACTCCATCGACAAGAAGGGGCCAAGCATCTCTGCTGGAGTACCTTTTTATTCTGGAGGCCAAACCTTTCCTAGAATCTCCATCAAGATCGTCCACTAGGCGTCTGCAGGCCAAGTACATTGGTTTGGGCCATAACAAGGACCCAAATAACAGTGGTTATCACTGACAAGATTTTTACCTCTTCCGCTAGCAGTTGAGCCTGCCCAGCTCCCTGTGGCCAGGCATCTCCTAACTCCCTGGCCCACCACACTATGATTTTGGACTCAACTGCAAGATGCCTTTGTGCATGCTGCTGTGCAACCAATGGGAAGCAGAGAGCTGGCTGCTAGGATCCCTCTGCGATGACCCAAAGTAGCACAGAGTTCTGCTCACGCGTCATTGGCTGGAACTTTGGTCCGTGATCACCCCTTAACTTCAAGGGCAAAGACCATCTTTCACTCTGAGTGGCCATGTCATTAGCTAAAAAATTTCTTCATGGAGAAAAGTGGGATGGGTTTTGGGTACAAAGTTTAGCTGCCCCTTGGGATGCCTGCGTCCTGTACTGGGGAGCTGGGATTTGACTTCCACCTCCACTTCCTACTCCTCTGTACTCTGGGAGGCAGCAGCTGATGGCCCAAGTGTCTGGGTTCTGGCTACCCACATGAGTGACTTGTGTGGAGCTCCTGGCTTCTGGTTTCAGCCTGGCCCAACCTTGGTTGTTGCAGGCGTTTGAAAACTGAATCAGAGATTGAAAGATTTCTCTCCATGTGTGTCACTGTGCCTTTTAATAATAGATAAAAATAAACTAAAAAAAAAATTGCTCTCAGGGCCTGGTGTGATGGCTCAATGGCTCAATCCTTATCTTTTGCACATGCAAGGATTCCATCTGGGCACCAGTTCATGTCCTGGCTGTTCTACTCCCAACCAGCTCCTTGCTTGTGACCTGGCAAAACAGTAAAGGATGGCCCAAAGCTTTGAGACTCTGCACCTGCATGGGAGATCTGGAAGAAGCTCCTGGCTCCTGGCTTTGGATTGGTTCAGCCCTGACCAACCATTGCAGCCACTTGGGGAATGAACCAGCAGATGGAAGATCTTCCTCTCTGTCTCTCCTTTTTTTTTTTTTTTTTATAAAGCTCTCTCCACACCTTTAAGGGCTGATTTAGTAGGTTTAGGAAGAGGCCTGAGAATGTGCATTTTTAGCAAGTTGCCCAGTGTTACTGGCCTGGGGATCAGACTTTAGGAAGCACGGTCATAGGCCAGTCGAGTTTTGCCTCCTGGAGACATGTAGGACCTACAACATTCCTGGAGCACTTCAGAGGTGGCAGCCCCAGCAAGCCAGTGCTCCACTTGCACAATGATGGAAACGGGGAGGCTAGAGGTTTGGAGAGGCTCTTTGGGTCAGGTAGGGGCAGTGCTGGAGACCAGATTCAAACTAGGCAGAATCTGTGACACGTCAGTATCAAGCCAAAAGACTTGACCTTGATCCTGAAGGTGCTGGGCAGACAAAAAGGAGTCTGCAGTGAGGAAATTGCAGGTGGGAGGGTGAATGGAAGGAGTGGTCCTTAAAGAAAGGTCCTTGAGGGTCTGGCACTGTGGCTTGATGGGCTAAACTTCCTGTGGTGCTGGCATCCCGTATGGAGCCAGTTCTTGTACTGGGTGCTCCACTTCTGCTCTGCTTCCTGCTAATATGCCTGGGAAGGAAGTGGAGGATGGCCACTGCTACCCAGTGAAAAAACCCAGATGGATTTCCTGGGCTCCTGGCTGCAGAGTGGCGCAGGGCTGGCTGTTGTGGCAATTGGGGGAATGAACCAGTAGATGGAAGATATAGTTCTCTGCCTGTCTTCCCCTTTCTCACTGATACTCTGTCTTTCAGATTGATTTTTTTTAAAAGGCAGCCTTTTCCCACCAGTGAAGTGAGGCACTTGCAGTTTGGAAACCAGTACTGGATTGGAGTGGGGCCCTTTAGAGGTGACACCACTGAGTGTCCCAGTTATTATCACTTTGCTCACAAGCCTAGAATTTTGCTGTGGGTGCTCCATAAGCATCCATCCCCATGGAGTTAGGAGTCAGTCTGGGTCCTGATTTTGTGATGGAATCATCCTGTCATCTCTGGCAGGTCCACGCCACTCCACATCCATCTCTTTTTTCCCCCCTTACCTAGAAAATGAATTTGGAGATCATCCCCAGGGGATCCTGTTTGATTGGCAGAGACTATGTCCAATCAATAGGGAACTTTGTGCAATGTCCTGCCCTCTTCCAACCAAGGGTCTTTTTCTCTCAAATGGAGCCCCCTAGATTGTTGCAGGTGGCACCTCCCCCAGCACGCCTTCCCCAGGGGCCCAGAAGAGCCAAACCAATAGGACACAAGCAGCACGTACTGAAATGACTTTTAATATCTCATGTCGCAGCAAAATTAAAAATATACAAAAAGTTTGTGGTGTACAAAAAGGTCTCAGTCCAGGGACCCCAGCTTGGGGCCCCTCCCCCTCCCGGGGGAAGCAAAGAGGGATTCAGTAGGTGGAGGCTGGGGATGGCACAGACATTATAAATACAGCAGGTGAGACCAGAATGGGAAACAGAAGTGGGCCGGATCGGGGCTGGATGGGGAGGGCAGAGAACACCGAAGGAAGAAAGGTCACCCCAAATTGTGCTGACTGAGGGGGAACTCAACCCCTCGGACATGGCTAGTGGTTCCTGGAGTTGGGAGAGTGGAGAGGATCAAAGCTGGGCGTACCCCGGGCAGACTCCCAAACACCTGCATTCTGGTCCCACCCTACCACTACCTGGCTGTGTGACAATGGCCCATCTCTGGGCCTGCTCTTGCAGACACTGGGTGGCTGAACCACTGAAGCTCTGTGGGGACGGGAGCAGGTGCCAGAACTTTCGAGAACTCTGTATGTAGCAATCCAGAACACTGCCTGCTAGACCCTGGGACCCAACTCCAGACCTGGGTGGCTCTTAATTCTGTGTAGGAGCTCAGCTTGAGTTTACTCAATTCTTCAAGAAATGAGTCTCGTTTGAACACCAAGCCAAACCCCCACACTGTGGGATCTCCAAGGGCAAAAAAAGACCAGCAGTACCTTGGGTCTCTTCCAGTTGGCTTACAGCTTGTTTGCAAAACTACCAGGCTTGGGTCTGTACTCATCCCGGGCCTTTCCAGGTTTAGTAGGGTAGTCCACGGGGACACGTTTAGGAGGAGGGTCATGTCTGGTCTCCAGGGGTCTGGGATTTTGGGGAGAAGCAGCCAAGGGTGCACTCCTTTGTTACCTGGTGCTTCTCATGCCCCCGCTTTGTCCTATGGTATTCTCCACTCAGTTATTGCGAGTGCCCTGGGACACCCCCCACCCTTTCAGCCTGGCCTGGGGGTGCCCTTATAGTGATTGTGCATAGAAAAGAAAAATAAATAAAAAAGGCCAGAGCTGGTAAAGAGGGCGGGGTGGAAGGGGCAGAGTCCAGGCCCTCCCCCTATTTCCCCTTCCCTAGGGAACTTCCTGTCCCTGGGAACCAGACCATGCCTGGACTGGGCCTTCCTTTCCCACTCCCACCATGCTTCTTTCTTCCCCTGGCCACTTCCTGTCTTTACCTATTGCTCCGGAGTTCACATTCCTTCTACCACCAGAATGGCACCTTGCAGGCCCCTTGCCCCCAAGCTCAGAAGCCTCTCTGGCCAGGAATGGGGATTCAGGCCCTGTCCCTGTGGCTTGGCAGCCCCCTCCCTCCCCAATCCTCTCTTCCCAGGAGACTTCACACAGTGCTTTAATGCAGATACCGATAGCTTGCCTTTGCTACTGGCTGACCCCCAGCCCAACCTGGGAAGAGGCAGGTATAGCAACTAGCCATGCCTTTTTCCTTTCCATTCTATACCTGGTCTTTCCCTGTCTAGCTGATGCAGGTACCTCCTACCTGAAGACTAAACTGTTGCCCACTCCAGACAGTAGAGGAACATGGAGCCCTTATCAGGTGGGTGATGGTCCTCAAACTGGGGACCCTGCAGATTCCCAGGCTGGTCCCTTGCCAGCTGAGAGCAGGGGATCAGCTGTCAGATGACTGTGTGATAGCTCAGGCTTGGACCAGCAGGGTTCAAGGTGTTTCCACACTCTGGGGCAAGGGGGTGCTCCCCAGAAGCATCTCAACATTCTGAACCCAAGACCTCTGAGTGGGCCAGATACGAGGCCTGGTCTGGCCAGCACAGTGCTCCTCACAAATTGAAGTGTCAGCGGCCAGAGGCAGGACACATGCAATCCTGTTGGCCAGAGTCCCTGCCACTCCCTCTTTCTAGCACCTCTGCTTCTCTCATTTCATTTGTGCTTGCAACTCAGACATCCCTGCCCCAGCAGATCATCTTCCAAAGGGTGAGGGCTATGTGGCTGTAAGAGAAAGCCCTGCAGAGTGCTCATGGGGGCTGCCAAATGAAGCATCACTAGATATTCCCAAGCCCCACGCCCTTAACTGGGAGACCTGGACATTCCCTAGCTTGGTCCTCTAGAGTCTCTCTTTCCCCAGCTCATGTGGGTGGGTGACATGCCCCAGGAGACACAGACGCAGCAGGTGGGATAGGGAGGGGAGGGGTCCTAGAAAGCCCCCCTTGTCGGGGAGGGTGGTGTCTGCTGCTTGGCTGGGACAAGTTACAAGGCACGTGGCAAGTTGGTGCTTGGAGGCGCCATGAGTGTGTGGCGGCTTGCCAGCATAGCAAGCCCAGGGAGCTTAATTTGAGCTGGGAGAAGCTGAAGACAAAAGGAAAGGGGGTACGTGTCCTGGGCTAGAGCTACAGAGGGCACGATGCAGCCTGCCTGGTGCTTTGGTACCAGAGTGTTCTGTTTTGGCAAAGAAAGATGGACTTAAGCCCCTCCTCACTCCCGGAACACCCTAATGTGCACCACCTTCCTGTGTGGTCTTGGGCAAGTCCCTGGCTGTCTCTGAGTCTCAATTTCTCATACAAGGAATGGGAAGGGCAGGTGGCTTAGGGGACCCGGAAGGCCCCTTGGAGATGTGGCTGTGTCTCCCCCTCCATCACCATAAGGCCCTTTAGGGATGCTGGGAAGACTAAGTGTCCAGACTGTGGTGGAGGGACAGGCAGTCGGTTCTGGCAGGGGAGGGAGCAGCTGAGGTAGACTGTGTCACAGAAAGGGAATAACTCCTCCCCCACTGACACCTGCATCCCAGCATCACCCCAGGAGCAGCAGGGATGGCAGGAAGTATGAGGGACAGGCCAGCGCACCTGGGGGACCTCAAGCTTGGGAGGGACAGTCAGTGTCCAGGGCGCTCCAGAGGAGATGGCACAGCAGGGACCCTTGATTGTAGCCATGCTGTGACTTAGGGTTGCTTTCTAGCCGTGGCCCCCAAAAAGGTTTCTAGCATTGTAATGCCAGGGGCAGGGGCTGGAGCAGAGACCAAGTGTATGGCTGTAACGTCCCTGTAAGCCTCATGCCACCTGCTCATTGCTGCTCCCCAGGCACCTTGTAGAGTTGCAAGGTTTACTCCATGGCTGGTGGGAGATTCCCCACTTTTCCACGATGCTGGAGAGTGGAGCAGTCAGCCAGGCTGTTGTGGGGCATTGGGGTGTAGCACCTGGCATGCTGCTTCTCTCGGTCTCCCCTGTGAGATGGGGAGGAGGAGGTCAGGAAAGTGCTCAGGGAGCAAACTCCCAGCCTCGGTCAGCGCTGGAGAGGCAGCGGCGTCAGGGGCCCCATGCCCAAGTTCCATTTCCTAGAGGTGCTGATACACGCAGGGTGAGCACTCAGATAGGTTCGGGCAGAGGATGAGGGGGATGGTGTGGGCCCTGGGGCAGCCTCAGTCTGGTTCCCCAGGGCTCAGGGAAGTAGGCAATAGAGGGCAGAGTGGCCTTCTATGTGGGCAGGGGAGATGGCCACAGCACCGTCTGCATCGTAGTGGACCACTGGGGGTGCAGTAACCCTGTCACTACCAAGAGGTGTGTTCATGGTGGTGGGGGTGGGGTTTTAGGGTCCCCCTTGGCAGACCCGCCATTGCTTATTACCATTCGCTGGCACAGCCTGGAGTCCAGGGACTCATGACACCAGCTGCCCCATCAGGGAGCCCCTAGGGTCACTGAGCCAGGGAGACCTGAGCACTCCCTCATTTGCATAGTCTAGGGTTCCTGCAGCCAGTCCTGCCCCCCAACACAGGATAGCAGCAGCTGTTCTTTATACCCCCCACCTAGGACCAGCCCCAGGTGAGTGGCCCCATGGGCACCCCAACATGTCCAGGCCATAGGAATGACCCCATGGCCTGGATGTCGTCACATGGAAGGGCAAGTCAGTTTCCCACATGTGACACCCTGGGAGTTGTAGCTGCAGCTGCCAGGATTCACTGCCCAAAGCCTTACACGTCTATTGGACCTTCTGTTACCTGCTGGTGCCCTAGAACTTTGTCTAGAACCACGCACGGCTTGGGAGTGGTCCCTCTGAGGAAGACGGTAGGGCCTCATCCTTCCCAGGGCCTCACAGAGCATCCTCCAATGCGTGCTACCTGCTGGCCTCAAGGTCTTTGTAGAGAAGGAATGTTCCAGATCTGGAACCAAGAACGGTTCCTGGAAGACTTTCCCCTGAGATGGCTGGCACCTTGTCCATAGTGGAGCCTCCCTATCCCTACATAAAGAGGAGGGGGGTCTGTGGATGAAGGCTGTGTCCCTCACTGCCCACACTCTGGAGTACAGGTGCCCTACCCCCAGGCTGCCCACCCCTTTGTGCTTCTGCTCGCGTGGATCCCTTGTGGGTCTTACCCCATCTATCCCTAGCTCTGCTTCCTACTTTAACTCCTGCCCACCCTCCTTCAGCCCCCTCTCCTGGCCCAGCTCCAGGCTTCAGATCCCTCAGGGGCTGCGCCAAGCCCTCAAGCAGCACCCCTCTCCATCCTTCTCAGAGATCCGCCCCTCTCCACAGGAAGAACCCACTCCCCACAGCCCAAGGAGCACAGCTTGTGTCTCCTGGACGGCGCTCTTTCCCTGGCAGGTCCCTGGGGCTCGTCCAGGGGCAGTGCCAGGCAGAGGGGGAAGTTGTGAGGCCATCCCATTTCCCCGCCGGGGTGAGGTGTAGCACCAGTTATTCCCCTGGGCCTTGGGGAATAGGCCAAAGGGGCCTTCTCAAGGCTGCTCCCTCGCCATGGATGCACCACTTGCACTGGGCTTGGTAGCTTTGCCATTCTGGGCTCAACGCCGTGGTGAGCGCGGAAATAGCCCAGCCCAGTCTGGGGCCTTGGCAGGGGGAGCCTGCTGCCTACACAGTGGTCTCATACTCCAGTAGTTCCTGCGAGGTGCCCACGCTCCGGTATTGCACGCGGGGCGTGACTGGCGAGGAATATTCTAGTGCCAGGATGGTCTTGCGCAGCCGTCGGTCGATGAAGTGAGCATCCCACGCCGGATACTTCTTCCGAGGCAAGTCAATCCGAATGACAGGCCCCTCTGTCCGTAAGGTGTGGGCCACCGGTGTAGGAGGCAGGCCAGGCCGCACCTGGAAGACGGGTAGAGTGGGGGTCCCGGCTCGTTCACCCCCCACAGAGGTCCCATCGCGCTCAGCGCCTGTAGTCCTGGGCAGGGACCTCGGGGGGCTTGTGATAGCATCAGCTGGTGGCCCGCAGGGCTGCGGGGACTCAGGGCAGATACATCCAGGGGGGGCCTGGGGACCCAGCATGGGCCCATTGGGGTGCAGGAGGCAGTAATAGACGCACATGAAGAAGATGCCCAGTGCAAAGCTGGAGGCTACCACGCAGACCAGGATGAGGGAGTGGAAATCGGTGGCGAAACTGCGGCTGGAATACCAGAAGCCGGTGAGCACTGCGTTCTCCAGCAGCACGAGGCAGTAGTAGAGCGCCATGCGGCGGCGGCTGCGGCCCTCCTTGACGTTGAACCAGCAGAAGATGTAGATGATGCCCACCACCATGTTGTAGATGATCTCCTCCCACTTGGACATGCAGAAGTCCGTCTCGCCCTGGATGACCCAGAAGGTCATGACACACCAGTGGGCCACGATGAAGATGCCGAAGTAGAGCTTGTAGATGCTGGCGAAGAGCGCAAAGGCCAGGCTGCGGGCCGCAATGGTGAACAGGTGCCACAGCACCTGGGCCACGGCACCCTTGTAGGACAGGGGTCGCTTGTCGTCCCGTGAGTCCCGCAGCACCTTCTGGTAGGAGGCCAGCGTCCAGGCCAGGGACACGAGTGAGGCCGAGGTGGACAGGGCTGTGGAGATAAGGCAGGGGGTGGGGCGGGCTGGGTTAGGGGTGGGTCCGGGTTGGGGTCTGGGGAGAAGGTAAGGGGTCTGGGTCAGGAGCTGGGTTCTGAGGTGTGAGGGGAGGCAGTGTGGGTGATGAAGTGGGGGTGAGGGTGGACAGGACTGGGGGTTTCTGTGAAGGTAGGGGCATCAAGGGAGGGTGGGTGACTTGGGTCTCTTTGGGGTCAAGTCTCATATGAGGGGGTGCCATTGGGTTTCTGTGAAGGTAGAGGCATCAAGGGAGGGTGGGTGACTTGGGTCTCTTTGGGGTCAAGTCTCATATGAGGGGGTGCCATTGGGTCTGGGGTCTTGATGGGAGGGTGGGAAGTTGGGGTCTAGGACTGTGGGGGTAGAAGACGAGGTGAACAGGAGGGGGTCTTGATTAGGGCACGGAGGAGCCAGTTGATGGCCCATTAAGATATTGGGGACCCCTGGAGGGGGTTGGGTATGGAGAGGGACATGTGTAGCTGAGTGTGGGGCAGGAAGGGACCCAAGTCCCAGGCCAGGAATTCGCAGGGGCCTGAAGAGGCCGAGGCTGTGGACAGGGTGAACCTGGGTGGGATCAGCAGGGCACTGCAGCAGGCGGCTTCTCTGTGAGCCCAAGGGCTTGGCCTTGCGGGGAACAAGGGACAGAGCCAAGGACTAGGTCTGGAAGGGGTCCCCAGTGAAATTGACTGGGACTGTGGGGCAGAGGGGGCTCCAGGAGGTGCCCAGTGGAAGGTTTGGGGATTGCAGAGGGCAGGGAGCTTCCCCCAGGGCTGAGCCTGTTCACTCGGTGCAGTGAGAGTGGGAGCACCCCCAGGGGGCCGGATGGGCAGTGGGGGAGGAAGGGCCCTGTGTGGGTGGAAGGCAGGCTTACCAGGCAGCAGGTTGGGCTCGTGGTCACGCTGCAGCAGCAGGATGAGCTGCAGCACAAGCTGTGGGGCGCTGCGCAGGAAGGTCTCCAGCAGGCGTAGCATGCTCACGTCTGCGCTCTCAAACAGCATCTGCCAGTAGAAGTGGCGCCGGAGCTGCTCCCCGCGCCAGCGGCTTTGCAGCCCCAGGTAGAGTGTGCGCAGGTACCTGCAGGAAGGAGGGCAGGGCGGGCAGCAGTGCTCAAACTCCCAGCGTGCAGGGCTCAGCTTCTCACCCTACCAGAGCGTCTCACCCCTAGCTGCCGAGGGGGCCAATGGAAGGGACCTCCCACCCTCTGGCTCCTTTGGAAAGCACTTCTGTTCCAGGCACTGGCATAACGGAAGCCCTTATGACTGTTCTTGCGTGACCTGTTTTCTTTGCTTTAATTCCCTAGACCACACCATCCCTATTTCACAGGGAAGCAAACTGAGAGGCCCAGAGAGGTATATCATTAGTCCAAGGTCACACAGCCAGGAAGTAGGGGAGCTGGGCTTCAAACCCAGGCAGCCACCCTCAGGGCCCACAACCTTCCCCTAACTGGCAGCCTTACAGAGTTTTTTGGGGGACGATACCTGGTGCCAGCCTCCCCAACGCCCCGTTCTGCTGTCACTAGCCGCTTCCTGGCCCCTGAGCTCACCTCTGAGCACCCGACCTCAGAGCTGCTTGGAGGCTCAAGCCCTGGGCCAGGACTCCGCTGCCGTTGCTGCCCCTGTCCCATGCCAGCTCAGGGAGCTGCCTGCTCCAGAGCACTCAGCGCCCTCCCTCACCCCTGCTCTTCTGCACCTGCTCTGCTCACCCTCTCTGGATGACCCTGGCTTTTTTCTAAGGAGTCTCTCTGCTTTCCTCTAATGTCCCAGGTTCAACTCCTGGTTGTGTTTCTAAAAAAGTGATGATTTTGAGCCAGACTGGCTCAGCGCCCTAGAGCATCCCCTCCCATGATGGCCCAGCACACGAGAAGACTTTTTGCATACTGCAAGGTGCAGCGCCCATGCATCAGTGCTCACACGAGGCCTGGCCCCTCTTGCTGGTCATGCATCTCCACCCCTGACTTTTGTAGCTACAGATCGTGCCCCTGGGGACAGCCTGGGCTCCCCTTAGTCACCAAGGGTGAGAGAAAGGAGAAATCATTCTGAGGTGGGGGAGCCCAGAACTTAGAGGCCCACTTCCAGATGTGGTAAGCTGGCACTTCTGGGACCCAGTTTGGGACTAGTTGCAGGCACCAAGTGTCAGCAGCCCAAGACAGGAAGTTGGGGCCCATGGATATCCAGAGCTCCCCTAAAGGGGGATCCTGGTCTTAACTGTCGTGTGGCTCTCTCTGGCAAAGGGGTCAGGGAGTACATCTTGGAAGAAGAAGCATTTTAAAGTGTGGGTTAGCGTTTAAGGGTATACAAGAGGTAGAAGGGCACACCAGGTGGAAAAGGATGTCAAGGCTCAGAGATGTGGGAGAAAGTAGCCTGGGACGGGGTGGTCCTGGCTCACTGGGTCTGGACAGGGGGGTTTTCATGGGCAGGGTAAAAGTAGACCAGAACTGGGAAGGGCATCGCGTTCCAGGCAAGAGAACTCAGGTTTGATTCCGAACGTGAGCTACATCCCAGAAGCAGGAATGATGGGATCAGCCAGGAAGCTTGTGCTGGGGGCCAGCTTGGAGGAACGCCAGGAAAGACTAGGATTTGCTCCAGGCCTGTGACGACTGGGCTGAGCCAGGGGCAGGAAACCAGGCTGGGGACCAAGGTGGAAAAGAGAGCAGGCCTGAGGTGGCCAAGATCGGGGTGGGGGAAAGACCAAACCAGCCAGCTGCCCACACTGCCCACACCTCCGGCTTTGAAGAGGAAGTGGAGGCCAGCTGGCCCATGTGAAGGAGCCCAGGGAGGTGGGGTGACACCCGGGAAGTGACTGTTGGACTGGAAGACCATCTGTTTCCGGGCCTGGGTCAGCGTGAGGGAGGCCCCCGGCTTCCAGCCAGCATCCATCACTATCTGACAGCCTGCCTGCCCACCTCCCCGCCCACTCCTGTCCGTGCCTCTGCCAGGGCCCAACTCATGGCAGACAAAGGGCAGCCCACATCCAGGGATTTCGGAGGCCTCTGGGTGCCAGGTGGGGAGAAGGGAGAGCCTACAGTGCACAACTGGGGCGGGAGGGTGAGGTTCCAGGCCTGCATGCCACCTCACTCTGCCTCTTTGGGCAACGGGATCAAAACCAGGGCTCAGTGATCCTCGCCAAAGGTCTAGGATTAGAATGTTTGGGACCTGAGAAAAGCTAAACCAAACCAAACCAAAACCTATCTACTGTGACACATGGCAGAAAGCTGCAGGATCATAATGAATACGGATTTAATTAAATGCCTGCAAACCAGAACATGATGTTGGCCAGTCAGCTGCGATCTGGAGTTGATTGGATTATGTAATTGATATTTGCTGTCTGATGTGGTTGTGTTTTCATATGCTCCATCGAGGTGGAGCCCATGGAGCCTGTCCAACAGTCCCACCCAGGACACAAGGCCTCATTTCTCTGCCCTTACTTTTTCCTTCTTTAAAATAGCTTACCATGCTGGTGGCCTCACAGCTGCTGGGGGCAAGATCAGAAAGGAGGTGTGGTGTGTGCGCCCTTGCTCCGCCCTAGCTGTGTGGCTGTGGTGGATTTGGAAATAATTTATAAACTGTAGAGGGCAGTGCGCCTAGAGGGAGGAGCGCACACACTGAGTGGAGGCTTCTGGCTCCTCCCAATCATCAAGCATCTTTCCTGAAAACTAAACCTTCTCCAGGAAGCCTGCCCTGCCTCCCCCTCTATGGAAAGGAAGTTGATTTTCACCATGAAAGGGAACCATCACACAGCAGGCCCGAGTCAGGAAAGGGAACGTGGATGTGAGGACCAGGCGTGCACCTGCTCTTTCCCAGAATGCATTCCTGCTCGGCCCACCTGTCTGCTGCCACAGTGCTCTCCTGCCTGGATGGCCACATTGAGCTGCCCCGTGAGCATCCCAACCCCTCCGCCCCCTACTCCGCCCTTCCTCCTGTCCCCCTTTCTCAGTAGAGAAACCCTGCAGGATGTTTTAAAAACTGGCAGATGGCGTCATTCACCCTAGCAAGCCTTCCGAGGGTCCCCATTCCTCTGGAACTGAATCCTAGCATCTCTTCTGGCTTGCAGACTCTCCAGCCCTTAGGCCCTGCCCTTTTCCTCTCCCATCTCAAACTTCTGTCCCATTTGCACACAACCGGACTTCTTCCTGTCATGGGGCCTTTGCACTGGCAAGCTGCCCTTCTGGCAACACCCCTGCCTGGGTCCTGCTGTAATGGACCCTTGGTAGCTCCCCTGTGCCCTTGGAGAGGCCTCTGTTGGCACCTCTACCCTCACCATCTCACCGAGTGTCCTCCGATTTTATCTTCTTGGCATGTACTATGACAAGACCTTATTCATTTCTTTACACGTTCATTTTCTGGCCTACCGTGCGGCTCCATGAGGGTACTCTCACCCCAGACCCTTGCCCACGTTGGCCACCCCTGAGTCCCCAGTGCCAGCTTGTGTGGTAGACAATTTTAAGATAATTATAGAATGAGCAAATGAATGTGTGTGTCTCCCTCCTGGCCTTGCATGATGCTACACTCTGCCTGACTTTTCAAAACTGGGAAAGCAGGAAAGGGGACATGGTTGTGGATGGAGTGGCAGCCTGGGTTTCTGTCTTGCCGGGCCCTGTTGCCATGAGTGAACAGTAGTATCTGAGACACCTGGTAGCTTGCTCCCTCTGCCCCAGGCCCAGCTGCCTCTGGCTCCCCAGCACCCTTTGGGGGTCCAAGGCTCCTTTCAGGTGGACAACAGGAGCAGCAAAGGATGAGGACCAGCTCCACAGGTCCTGGGTCAGGACTTCTGGCCTAGATGGCAGTATCCATTCCAACCCGTGCCTGAGTCGGGAGCCATCAGACCCTGGTCACTATGTCTGTCCCTTGAATGCAGGTTCAGTTACCTATCCATCCCTCTGGTACTTCTGGTCAACCAGTTGGTCATACAGGCCCTGGCCTTTCCACCTGCCTCTTGTCTGTTCCCAGGGCCCCTGGCTCTGCTGCTTGGGTGCTTCGGGTCCTCGGCTGTGCCCACCTGCTGCTCACTTGCAAGGTGCCTGCTCCTCCTCTCCCTGACTCTGGGTCTCTGTCTGTCTGTGTCTCTCACGTCCTCGTCTCCTCCATCTGTCAGGCTCAGCGCTTCCGAGTTTTCTCGCCTCTCCCCACTCCCCCTCACAGCTCTGGGCCAAGTGCTCCCCCGCGCCTCCCGACTCCATCCAGGAACAGCTGCCTGGCTAGCAGCTCTCTGCTTTGCAGCAGAGCTGGGCCCTGCAAACCCCAGCAGCTCCCAGCAGTCGCACCCTACGGAGCTAGGTCCTGCAACCTCCTGCCAGCCCCCAGCAGCCATGCCCTGTGCTGCTCTGGAGGCCTGGTGGGGAGATGCAGGGGTCAGTGAGGGAGGATAGCAATGGCTTGTACCACCAACCCTCTGGTGACCTTGGACACAGGGTGATCCAGCCTCCCAAGCATGCTGTCCACTGCCTGCCTGGTGCCTTCCAAGCCCGCCAAGCTCTTTCCAGCCAAGAGCACCTGGGAAAAGGTCCTCCTTCACAAATGCCCAGCAAAACACCCTTTCTTCCCATTTCAACACAGGGACACCTCCTCCAAGCAGCCTTCCCAGATGCCCTCAGGAAGGGCTCCAGAAAGCAACCAGGATGGCTGCAGTTCAGAGAGATGAGGTGGGCCTTGGTGGGTCATGATGGAGAACCTAGGAGGGTCTCACACAGAGGCAGGGGTGGGGGAAATGGGTGTGGCCAACACTTGTGCATGCTAGAGGGAGCACTTCATGGTTGGCGAGGTGGCGGGGTGCAGAGTGTGTGGTCTAGGCAGGGGGACAATAAGAGACAGGGTTTCCGGGTGAGAGGTCAGGATGGTTCTAGTAGAGCAGATGGCCACCCAAACATTTCACAGATGATGGGAGCCCAGGAGAGGCCAAGTTACAAGGCTACGTCTCACCACGGGGTGCAGGCTGTGGGACTGGGTCCAGAAGCGGGGGTTTCTTCAACACAAGGGACCCTAGGTCACAGTGACTCCACCCCTGCAGGGTGCCCCCCCCCCCAGCTATCCCTCAAGGCCAAGTACTCCAGCAAGAACACAAGAAAAGGACCCTCTTGG